GGTCCCCTCGAGTTTCTCGGCAAGAGCTCGCTGTGGGCTCACTGGGGTCCCCTCGGAACTTCTGTGGTTTCCCGGGACAGACTGGGGCCCCGGCCGGGGCCAGACCACGCCCCCCTTCCCGCCCCTGCACGAGGAGCCCACTGCCCCCGTGACCGCGTGGCCCTGCTCACCAGGGACGGGCGCCCGGCTGCACTCCTCTCGTGTGGCACCTTGGGGGCACGTTCCCTCAGGCGTGTACTTTTCTTTTTAAATATTTTATTAACTTATTTTCAGAGGGAGGGGCAGGGGGAGGGAGAGAGAAACACAGGTCTGGGGCCAGGTCCGCAACCCAGGATGTGCCGCGTCCGGGAATCGAACCGGCGTCCCCGTGGCTCACAGGCCGGCGCTCAGCCCGCTGAGCCACAGCAGCCGTGAAGCCTTCGGTGTGCCCTCTGGTCCGTGCACACCCCATTCCCACCCGACGTTCTGTGGAGTCTTTGCTCCGCGCCCGCCAGCAGCCCCTGCACGGCTCCAGGGTCCAGGGGACCCAGGGTCCAGGGTCCAGAGGCTCCAGGGGAACCAGAGCAGCCGCCCCAGGACTTGACGCGTCCACGGCCGGCCGGGGGAGGCGGCTGTCGGCCCGACTTGCCTCCTGGGCACGTCCTCGGGGACTTGCCGTCGGGAGGGCACGCGGCCTGGGGTGGGGGGGGGCAGTAGAGGCCCCCACCCGCCCTCATGGAGGGGAGGTGGTCAGACTGGGCACAAAATTCCAGATGCAAAACAGTTTCCTCCCTCAACATCTGGAGTCTTTTTTCCACGGACTTCCCGACCGTGGAAAAGCTGCTGCAGAAAAGCCAGGTGCTATTTTTATTTCCCAGTGCTTCCACGTGACCTGCCTCTGTCTCCGGAGGCTCTCACGGTTTCCTCTTCCACCCTCCTGCCTTCCGTGACGCCGAGCCCCCGCCGTGGGTCTCCGTCCTCCCCGCAGGCACGCCGCTCAGCGCCAGGGCCGGTCGCTCCCCCGACACCCCCTCCCCTCCTGTGTCTGGGGGCCCCTCCTGGGCTCCCTGCGGGGAGCACGCGCTGGCTTTTCTGTTCGGGGACTTTGTGCAGCGACCACAGGGTGTGCGGGCACGGCGTCGGCAGGGCCTGGGCGAGGCCTGTCGGGAAACAGGTGCCCTCCCGACCCCGGCGTGTGGTGGGCCTGTCACCTCTGCCCCGGTGCCCAGGGCTGGTCTGTGTCCCGAGGGTCCCGGGTTCAGCTTCTCCGGGGAGACAACTCAGGTTCCTGCTGCTGCCTGGCGGCGGGTCCCCAGCGCGAGGCCGGACCTCAGCCTGTCCATCGGGGCCCCCACCCTGGAACTCAGCCCCCAGAACAAAACGTGGTGCCTGTGTGGCCTTGTGCTCCCCTCCCCTTCCTGGTGTCCTGGTGGGTTATCATGTTGCGTCTCTCCCTTCCCACCGGCCCTGGCTGCCCGTCTGCAGGGGTGGGCGGCCCGGCGGATGTCAGGGCCCACGTGGGGCCTCGGGACTGCCCACCTGCTCCACGGTCCCCGCCGTGCACAGGCGGGGCAGCCCAGGAGCAAAGTGGTTCTCTGAGGGCGGACGGTCACCTCCCCAGAATGAGGCCCACGGAGCACGGCCAACTCCAGGCTGCTTCAAGGGTCCTGGCGGCCGCTCCCTCCTCCCCCTCCCCCTCCTCCTCCCCCCACTCCCACCACTCCTTCCTCCTCTTCTCCTTCCTTCCTTCCTTCCTTCCTTCCTCTTCCTCTTCTCCTTCCTTCCTTCCTTCCTTCTCCTCTTCTCCTTCCTTCCTTCCTTCCTTCCTCCTCCTCTTCTCCTTCCTTCCTTCCTTCCTCCTCCTCCTTCCTTCCTTCCTTCCTTCCTCCTCCTCTTCTCCTTCCTTCCTTCCTTCCTTCCTCCCTTCCTCCTCCTCTCCTTCCTTCCTTCCTTCCTTCCTCCTCCTCCTCCTCCTCCTCTCTCTCTCACGGCTGATTTTTGGCATCGCTCTTATGCTGATTTCACAAATATAAACCGTGGAATTTCCTCCTTTTTCCTCCCTTCCAAGAACACTCTGAATACCACTGGAACTGTGTTTCCTGACTGTTCGAACACCACCTGTGAGTTCTTAGACACCGTCCTCAGCTTCTGACGTTTTTCAGAGGCCACTTGGTTCCAGTTCTCAAATGTGTCGGGACTGCGTGGCCAGAGCACCACGCGGTCGGCGTGACCCCTCCAGTCTGCGGCCGCCTCGCAGGCGTGTTTCCGAGCTCCGCCCCCTTCTCTGCGTTCCTTCCGCCCCCGTCAGCGGCCGCCGGGCCCGGCCGGGCCGGGCTGAACTGCGGGCGCACTGGACCCCGGCTCCTCCCCCAGAGCGGGTCCGGGCGGTGAGCCGCGCCCGTGCCTCCCCGGCCCGGGCCCCTGGCTGAGGCCGGGGCGCAGGTGTGTCCCGTGTGACACGGGGGCGTGGCCGGCGTCCCAGGAAGTCCGGGGCCCCCAAGGTCCCGCCGGGTGGAGGCCTCGGGTGTCTGGTTCCCAGACGCGGCCACCGGGGTGGGCTGGACTCAGGCTCGGACCTGGTTGCCGTTAGAGGCCCCTCCTGCGTCCACAGGGCCAGCGCGGGACCCCCACTGCCCCGCTCCCTGCACTCGGACGCTGGGGCCGTGGGAGTTGGGCCTTGGGCACCGCAGACCCCCTCTCCGGAAGGCCGTGGGATGGGGCCTCCCACTCAGACCCGGGGCGAAGGGCAGAGACCCCCCCACACACACACGGCACCACTCAGCCGACCCCGCGTCCCATGGGGAGAGCAAAGGGCACACGGGGAACATGCACGTTCCTCACAGGGTCTGCTGCTAGCCCTGGCGAGGGGCTCCGGGCTCTCGGCGCTGGGCGGGGCTTGTGGGCTGTCCGAGGCCCTGCTGAGGGCGCCCCAGGAGCCAGGTCCATTCCCACAGCCCGTGGCTTTGCAGCCAGTCCCCAGCGTGAACCTGCTCCCCAGAGGCATGGCCTCTGCCTGCATCCCTGGCCCGGGAGAGGTCACCCAGTCTTCCCCCACGGCCCCGCCCTCTGCTGGGCTGCCAGACCCTCCCTGAGCCCTCTGGCCAGTGGGCCAGCCCAGAGCTCAGGCGGGCACTGGGGACAGTGGCACTTGAGGGCCCTGGGCAAGACCCAAAGGCCAGTGCCCAGTGTCACAGAGCTCAGCACACAGTCGGTGCTCAATAAATGCTTGTTGCAGCTGCTACAGCTACAGCCTTGTGATGCACGAGACGTGTGGGTTCAGGGACTGGCCCACCGCATCACTGCGGTCCCACTGGCCGCTGCTCTGCCCCTCAGGAGAGGGGGGTGGACGGCCCGCCCGCCCCTCCACCTCAACACGCATGTGCTCTCCTGGGGCTTCCCTCCGGGGCCCAGCTGTTGCACAGGGAGAAGACGCACACGGCAGCCGTCCACCTGCCTTGGGCGCCCGCGGGCCAGGGTGGGGGTGGGGAGGGCCGGAAGGTGGCACCCGGGCGGCGGTGAGGTTCGTCCCCGCCTCCCCACCCCCGCACCGGCCAGGGAGGACGGCAGCACAGGGGGCCGCCCGCTCCTGGCCTGGTTACCAGGGGAACTGTCCGGAGAGTGTGTCAGCGACTCTGTGACCCAGTTTCCCTGGAGTCACTGGCCTGAAATCCGCTTGCCCCTGTGAGATTCTGCAGCTGTGGCTGAGAACCAGCCCAGAGGCTGTCAGTCTGTCTGGGTCTGTGCCACGGCCTCGCACCTGGGGCCCTGGGGCAGGGCCTGCGGGCCGGAGCTTCCGGCAGCCAGGAAGGCCTGTGCGACCCACGTGGTCCAGCCTGCAGGCAGCTGGTGTTCAGCCCAGGGCTCAGCCAGAAAGTTGCTTGTTTCCCATGCACAGCCAGTGGCTGTCGGGAACTATGCCTCCCACCCACGGGAGGGGGCGCTCCTGAGTGATGGGTCGGCAACGGCGGCATCCCGCAGACAAGCCTGCAGGAAAGGGGACCTGTCCGGGCCAGCCCGCCCGGGCCAGCGCGGTGGAAGGGGAGCCCAGCAGCGCCAAGAGTGCCGAGCGCAGGGAGCCGCTGCGTTCTGAGGGAAGCGGGTCGGGCTGGGCCTCGAGCCGGGGGTGGGGGGACAGGTGGGCACGGGCACGTCTGGAGATGCTGTGTCGGCACCTGACCACAGCCAGTCTGGTCCTGAGGCGCCTGCTTGGCTGGCCTGGGGCAGCGCTCGTGAGGGCTCGGGGGAGGGGGGAGGCCTGCAGGGAGTGGGGCGTCCATGCGCACAGGCAGCGGCTGTCAGTGGGGGCAGCAGGGGTCTCCTCGGTGGGGTGGGCCGGCTGGCTGTGTGGGGGCGGGCGCGGTTAGCGGCTCTGACCTTTGGCGCTGCCCCCTCTGCTGCCCTGGGGATGCAGCGTGAAGAGCACAGCTGCTGCTCTGCTCCCCGGAGCCGCGGACGGGCCAGGGCCAGGGCCAGGGCTCGTCGCGGTGCCTTCTGGGATCCGAGGCTGTAACCACAGCGCTCTGTCCCGTGGGACAGGTCACAGGGGGTCCACGGACGTGCTGGTTGTTGCCTGTGGGCCAGGAGCCTGACAGAACAGTGGTGGCTGGCGCGGCGGGAAAGATTAGGCCCTGGGTGCCCAGTCGCAGCTGCCGCCAGCCCTGCACACCAGGCCCGCTGCCCCCCCCACGGCCCAGTATTCAGTCGCTCCTCCCACACCTTCTGGAGGCTGAGCCCCGGCTGGACACCGGACCTGGGGAAGAGCCCCACCAGCCCGCTCCAGAGGCTCACAGACACCTGTGTGCGCACACACAGAGACACAACCACGGCCCAGTCCCACACACACACACACACACACACACACACAGTGCTGCTTCCTCACAACCATCCCGTGTGCCCCTCCCGCACACCCCCATGCAAACCCACGCTTCCCTCTCTGGACAGACGTGCCGTAGCCCTGCCGGTGCTGGGGCGCGTCCGGCCGGCAGGCTGTCCATGTGGGTCACTCTCTTCTCTGTTCCCAGGGGCCACCAAGGACATGGGGAAGATGCTGGGGGGTGATGAGGAGAAGGACCCCGATGCCGCCAAGAAGGAGGAGGAGCGCCAGGAGGCCCTGCGGCAGGAGGAGGAGGAGCGCAAGGCCAAGTACGCCAAGATGGAGGCGGAGCGTGAGGCCATGCGGCAGGGCATCCGGGACAAGGTGGGGACCGGCCAGGCGGGGCAGGGACAGCGGGGCCCTGGGGACGGGGGAGCCCGCGCCCCACCCACTGGGAGGACACAGCCTTGAACCTGGACTGACCCAGGAAGCCTTCACCCCTGGGGCTGCAGGGCTGGGCTTGGGTGCGGGGGACCTGGCCCTGGACGGAGAGGTGCTGCCCGGGGAGGGCTGTGTGGAGCCTGAGGGCCCTTTCCACCCTCCCCCTCTGCCTGGCCGCATTGGACAGCCCTCTGGCTTGTCCACTAAGGAGCTTTGGGAGGTGGTCCCACGGGGTCCCAGGACAAGTGGGGTCACTGCACCCCAGGTGACCACACCTGCCACGCAGGCTCACTAGGGATCACAGTGCACTCTGGGGGCCCCCAGCCCCTCCTGCTCCTGATGATTGTCCTGGGGTGGGGGCTCCTGCGGCATGAGGGGTGAGCTCACTTGTCCACTGAGCCGCGTGGCCTCCCGAGGTCCTTGAGGGCACAGCATCTGGGGTGCTTGCCCCCATCCTCGGCCCCTCCCAGGCTGGGCCTTCCCCACCAAAGGCACCCGCGTCTCTGAATCAAGGTCACTGTTGGGAGGCGCGGCTTGGGGACACCGCTTCACTCGGTTGCTTCCTGACCCCACCTCCAGGCCCCCGGCTCTGGGTGGCCCCAGCCTTTGCAGACGAAACCCTGGGGTGGGGCTGGGTGGGGGTCGGGGAGGCTTCCGGAGAGGCTGTCCACGGTGGCTGGCCGGGACCAGCTGGGAGGCAGGGTGCGGAAGCCTGCTGGGCTCTGCCTCCGCTCACCCCCGAAACGGCCCGCTCCCCGCGGCTGATGGGGAAGCCAGGACTCAGGAGTGGTGGGTGCAGGGGTCCTTCCCTGGGGACTGCCACTCATAAGCCCCACCCCCTTCACCTCCCATGGCCTGCCGCGTCCAGGAGCGGTTTGGGGAAGAGCCAGAAAGTGGGCACCATTAACCAGACCCCACGGGGGCTGTGCTGGGGCACGGAAGGAACAGAGCGGGGCGGGAGCCGTAAGGAGGCAGAGGCCGAGAGGAAGACACACAGAGAGAAACAGAGACAGGCACAAAGAGACTCGTCTTGTGGTTCCCCCAACTCCCTGCGTCAGACCCAGCTGGGACAGCGCTGACAGGTTCTGGACCCTGGAGCCCCAGGCTTCCCCGCTGCGGCGCTGCAGCCTCCGGAGCCTGGTCCACTCCGGGCGGGGAGCCTTCTGTTCAGCCCCCCAGGCCCTGCAACAGCGAAGTGCGCACAGCGAGGGGAGAGGGTGTCCCCCGCACCCGCGACGGCGGGGCGCCCCCTGGTGGGAGCTTAGCGCCTGGCGCCTCCGTCCGCGGCGTCCCCAGCACCGCCCAGTGGCTCCGCCCCCGGCCTCGCCCCCGCGAGGTCGGCGGGAGCCCCAGTCCGCGTCGTTCTCTGCAGAGCCCTTCGCCGGGCTGTGCCCAGGTAGCTCGCCCCCAGCCCTCCTGCTCTGCAGGTGTGCCTCCCCCTGGTGGCCCTCGCCGGCCCCGGCTTCCTCCCCAACCCCGCACCCAGGACTCGTGGGGAATGGTTAGCGAAGGGGGCGCTGAGCTGTCGGTCCAAGGCCCCATCAGATGGGAGGTGAGGGGCAGCCGGGGTCACGCGTCCAGCTCCCCAGGCCACCTCACCGGAGGGAAGCGGAAGCCGGCTGGTGGGCAGAGCCTCTAGCTTCCCACCTGGGCGCGGGCCCAGGTGGGAGGGCAGCTTGGCCCACCTGCGCGTTATCTGCATGTGCGCCTCTGGGTTTGCCACGTGCTTCCTGATTTGCATACCCACCCTCGGATTTGTCTGCGCAGCGCCAGTTCTGGGGCTTTCCGCGTCCAGGCTCCCCAGCTTTGAGACAGAGCCACCCTCCCGGAGCCGAGCTGACGGGTTCCAGCCCCCACCCCTGAAATCACTCGGGGCCAGCTGGGGGTTTGTGCAGAGAAGAGGGCGGGCGTGATCGCCGACTGTTACTGTTACTCGGGATCGCCGGTTGCACTGCAGCCTCACCACTACGGGGTTCGCGTTGTGTTGCCTGGGGGCACTGGCCGCCCGATGTTGTTCCGCGGCTGATGTCTGGGCGTCCGGGTGGTCCGTGTCTCGGCAAACAGCTGTTGATGGAGCTGGCTCTCAGACAGTCAATACGGTCACATTCTGAGGCTCCGAGGACACGAATTTATTTTATCTTATTTTTTAAGGATTTTAAAGACAGACTTTATTTATTTGTTTTTAGAGAGAGAGGAAGAGAGGGAGAGAAACATTGATGTGCAAGAGCGACATGAATCAGCTGCTCTTGTACGCCCCCTACTGGGGAACTGGCTGCAACCCAGGCATGTGCCCTGACTGGGAATTGAACCAGCGACCTTTTGGTTTGCAGGCGGGCACTCAATCTGCTGAGCCACGCCAACCAGGGCGAAGGAATTTTTTTTAATCCTCACCTGAGGACATGTCTATTGATTTTAGAGAGAGAGGGAGGAAGCAGGGAAGGGGAGACAGAAACATCCTCGTGTTGCCTCCTACACGCACCTGGCCAGAGCTCAGGCCCACAACCTAGGATGTGCCCTGACCGGGAATTGCACCTACAGCCTATTGGTACAGGACGATGCCCTGGCCAACTGAGCTGCCTGGCCATGGCTCCAGGTGACATGGATTTTGGGGGGACACTTCAGTCTACCACAAAAGTGAGACCTGGGTAGGGTTTAGGGCAGGCACACAGGGAGCCAGCAGTATGGGCTGAGGGCCTGGAGACATCCACTTTGGAGTGACCACTGGGCATGTCCCTCCACCAGCTGTTCACGGAGTGCAGAGGGGCCTGCCAGGGGCTGGGGTCATGGCTGTGTCCAGGGAGACCTGGCCAGGTGTGACAGTGTGGCAGTCCAGGCCAGAAGCAGTGGGTTCTCTCCACCGCTGCCCCCCGCTCTGGCTGCTCCTGGAGCAAGCCCAGGCCAGACTGAGGACAGTGCAGCTTCCTCAGGGAGAGACCGCTGGGGACAGGACCAGGGACAGGACCCCCGCATGCCCCCAAATAAAGAGATGCCCCGTATACCCGTTCTCCTCCCGCCCCGGCTCCAGCATTCTCCGTAACGGTCTCCTCCAGGCACCCTCCTGGGTGGGGCCTTCCCCTTCCTTCCCAGGTCCTGGTGTCCGCTGGCGGGGCCTCCCTTAGCTGCGGGCGCTGCCCCTCAGCCCCTCACCCAGGCCCGCAGCCAGGGCCCTGCCCCCGCCCCAGGTCCTGCGAGCACCCGCCCGGGGACCCCTGACCCAGCCCTGTCCCCACAGTACGGCATCAAGAAGAAGGAGGAGCGCGAGGCCGAGGCCCAGGCCGCCATGGAGGCCAACTCCGAGGGCAGCCTGACGCGGCCCAAGAAGGCCATCCCGCCCGGCTGCGGCGACGAGCCCGAGGCGGAGGACGAGAGCATCCTGGACACGGTCATCAAGTACCTGCCGGGGCCGCTGCAGGACATGTTCAAGAAGTAACTCCCGCCGCGCCCGAGCCCCGCCCCGCCCTCACCCGCCCCTGCCCGAGACCCGCGGGGGCCCGGAGGGAGGTCGGGAGCGGAGTGCAGCAGCCCCAGTGCGATATAAGCCATAGTCCCCGTCCCTGCGCCCCACGCCCCTCACGCGGGAGCCTCCGCCCGCCCCTACCCCTCCGCGCACCGCCGCGTGGGATCGGCGCCCACCCCCAGGGCCCCTGCGGCCTGTGCCGGAGACCTGGGTCCAGCCCCCTGCGCTCCCGCGGAGCTGGAGGGTTGGACCTCCCCGCCCGGCAAGCCTGGAGCCCCCTTATTGCCCCCGCCCTTCACCGCCCACCCAGCAGCGTCTGAGGCCGGGCCACCGGCCGCCCCTCAGCGCTCCATGCGCGCTTGTCCGGCCCCAAACTCAGGAGCACAGCCATAGTGGGGGGAGGGGGCGTCGTGCGGGCTGGCAGCGGCGGGAAGGGCAGCGGCAGGTCCCTGGGCCCCGGCCTCCGGGCAGGGGCGGTAAGCCCCTCCCGGTCCGGGTCAGCCTGGACCCCCCAAGCCCCTCCTCCCACACTGACGCCTGTCTGCTGGCTGCCCACCCCTCTCCGTCTGAATCCATCGCGTTCATCGTCCGTCTGTCTGTCCTTCCGTCCTTCCCTCCCCCTTGGCTCGCTCCTCCGGAAGGCTCTGCTTCTTCGGAATGCCACGGCCCTTTTCTAAGCTAAGGGAAACAAAGCAATACGAATGGGGGGAAGCCCCCCCACCCCCAGAGTGGTACACACCCTACTAAGTCAGCTCCCCTCTGTCGGGCCAGCCGGCCGGCCAGCCAGCCTCCCCCTCCCAGGGCGGCACCCTCCCCTCCGAGGCTGCTCTGGGCCAGGCCCAGCTCTCCACCTCTAACACCCACCCCCTCAGCGGTGCAGGGGAGGGCGAGCCCGGCTGCTGCCCCCAGCGCTGGGCAGCCGAGGCGGGTGTCCCTGGCCCTCCCTTCTGCAGGATGCTGCGGCCTCGCGGGGGCCCGCCGGGTGTCCTCTCTCACGGGACCCGCCCGGCCCCCCCCAAGCCCTGCTTTGCCCCCCGTCCTTGGCTAACTCGCGTCACGACGTGTTGAATCTCAGGTAAAGGTCTAATGTATTTGGGGAGTTTATCTGGACAGAAAGCCGGTGGCCTGGCCCCGGGCCACGTACATCCACGTGGGAAGTTCAAGTGCGGGAGCTGCGGCCGGGGTGCCCCCCACATCGCTGTTAGAAAAGCCATAGCAACCAGACTGCAATACCAATGGCGGGGCCCCGCGCGCCCGCTCCCCCTGCTCCCCGTCTCCTCAAGGCCCGCGTCCGCACTTCCGGAGGCCGGCTCTGCGCGGCCAGGGCGTCGTCTGGCAGGAACCCCGCATCCCCACCCCAGTGCTTGGGGCGCCAGGGCAGCCTAGCTTAGCGCAGACCTTGGATGTTGTCCGTCTGTCTGTCCTCGCGCCTGCGCCTCCTCCTGCATGTCGGGGGCGCCGCGTGTGTTCTCTCCGGATGGAATCACAGCCAATAAACAATCCCGTGATTTCACACCGTGTGGACCTTCTCTCCGGAGTCCCGATTCCTCCCGGGAGGAGAGGGCGGGTCCTCATCACGTCCCCCCCCCCTCAGCCAGAGAGGAAGCACCTTCCCCTCCCACAGGGGCAGCGGCAGGGTCTCCCCACCACCCTGACCCCGACTTTCCTTCACTGAGGCAGCCCCAGCCAGAGTGAGCTCCAGCCGCCCCATCTCCAAGACCCTTCCCAGGCTGTTCCTTCCTCACAGCTACTCCAGCCCTAGGGGTGCGGGTCCCAGCTGCTGGCCACACAGCAGCCTTCCTGCACTGCCCTGAGGGGCCTGCCTCTAGTCTGTCCTGTGGTAGGTGCCCCTCTCCTGTGTACGCTGGGAGGCCTTGGTGCCTCACTGCCGCACTGGGTCCCCCATCCCACAGGGGATGCCTGCCCTTTCCGGGCCAAGGTGGCTGAGGTGCTAGTGAGACCTGCTTACGGGGGGAACCCCAGCCCAGTAAGAGAACAGCCCTGCTGTCTCTCCTGTGGACCCCACCCATGTCCCTCCCGTGCCCAAGCCCACCCCACAGTGCTGTAGCTACTTGAGCCCCCCAAAAGGGTGTTACACTTCCACTTCTGGGGTTCTTTCCTCAGGAGTGGGGGGTCTGGGTCCCTGGGGACTTTCCTCACTGCTGGCTGGGAGAACACAGGGAGTGTCCTGTCTCCATGAGGAGAAAGGCCACACTCATCCCCCCTCGCCCCCGGTACCCCCGCCCACAAGCTGTGCCCCAAGGGATCCCAGGGAGCCAGCCACAGCCCCTCCCCCAGCCCCAAATGCTGGGTGGGAGGGGTCTGGGTGGAGAGGGAAGCATCTACCCTGGTTCCAGCTGGGGAGGGGTGGGGTGGGGGGTGGCTCCCAGCTCCAAGGACGCTGAGCTGTCCTGTGCGCCTTTCACCTGCCGAGGAAGCAGTTGTTCCAGCTGTTCACCCTCCGCGTCCGGACTCGAAACTCACAGCGAGTCTCTGCAGCCAACCCAGCGCTTTGGGCTCTGCAGGCCGCCCCAGGTGCAGCTGCTCATCACAGGGCACCCACCACTCAGCCGCTCCCGACTAAGCCCGGCTGGACCCGTCTTGGTCCAAAGCTCCTTGGGTGTGCCCCAAACCCTGGCCAGCGCCTCCTCAGTGACTGGCGGGCAGGCCCCTCCGGTGCTGGGGCCCTAGGGCTCCAGGGAAAGCACACACTTGGTGTTTACTGAGCCCAGCCATGTGCCCAGCTCAGCTGCAGGCACTGAGGATAACTGAGGTCCCATAAACCAATGTAAAAGCCAAGTGGAGATTTCTTCCATGGAAAATGTCAACCAGGACGAGGGGACAGAGAGGATGGTGAGGCTGCTGTCCTGGGTGATGTGAACAGAGGGAGCCCCGGGGGAGAGCATTCCAGGCCGAGGGACAGCCCTGCCAGGGCCCAGGCAGGAGCTGCCCTGGGTGCTTCTGAGGCGTGACCACAACTCCAGCTGACTGCGGCCTTGTCCAGGAAGCTTGCTTTAGGCCACAATGCCGGGCAGCAGTTTCTTTCCTTTCCGGATGTTTAACTACCCTGACAAAGCAGAGCCCACTCTCCAGAGACGTCCTCCATTGCCCAGGCAGGTCCCCAGCAGGCTCTGACGACCTTTCCCCGGTCTCCCGGGTCGCCCCAGGCGGCGCTCTGCCCAGGACGCCTGCACTCGGGGAGCTGCTGGAGTCACAAGCAATCACAAGCCGCTAACCATCCAGGCCGACAGGACAGATTTTTAAAGGTCTGGCAATTAAGGACCATTTGTCTAGTTCTGCTAATCCGCAGCTAGACGAACCCTGCTGTCCACTAGCACAGCCAGCGCGGCCGGCGAACCCTGGGTCTGCGCCACCTGTCCGCACTGGGAACGGCTCCACGCCAGTCTCAGCCGGTTCCCGTCTGTGGGCGGCGGGTCCTCGGGAGCCTGGCTGGCTCCAACCGGGGACGGGACCGTGCTGCCGCGAGGCTGGGTGTCGGCTCCACCCGCGTGGCCTCGAGGATGGAAGGGACTCAGGGCAGGACCCCAGACCGGTGACCCTCACGCCGGCGCTGCGACGAGGCCATAGGGCTTGGCCTGCGACGGGCAAAGCGCGCAGGCCCGGGCGGAGTCTCTGGCGTCCTCACCCCCTTGCAGCTCCCTCAGGACCCGCCCTCACCAGCCTGAGCCAATCAGCGTCTGCTAGGCAGACCACCGTGATTGGCCCTGAGTGTTACGTGACAGAAGCATGACCAATTGGAGCCGGGAGACGCCGCGCGGAGTTTGGTTTTCCTTGGAGCCAGTGGGTCTGGGCAGCGGACCGGGTCCAGAGGCCTGGAGCCTGAGCGGGGGCTCGCCGGGGCGCTTTCAGCGGCCGTCCTGGGATTGGGCGGCAGCTTTGGGTGGGGTCGTCCTGCCGCTGCCTCGGACTGGCCTCGGAGCATGCGGTTGGCGGGGCCCGAGGCCCGAAGGCGCCTGGGTCCTGCCCCCACCGGTGGGAAGGGCCCACGGTGATTTCTTCCAACCCCAGAGCAGGAGGCATGGGAGCAGAAGCTGGGTTGATTTCTACAAAATAATACACATCTCCTTGCAACCCAGAGTGGGTCCAATGAAATACATGGGGTGCAGCGAGCCGAGGACTCGGTCTGGAGAGATGGGGGCCTGGCGGCGGGGCGCGAGGAGGCCCCGGGCTGTGCAGCTGCCGCCACTCCACCCACCAGCTCCCAAGGGCCGTGCGCACGCAGCTCCTCGGAGAGGCCGGTGTCGCTGTGCGTGAGCAAACTGCATGCTGGCGTGCGCTCTATGAACAAACCCGTGGATCAGCTCTGTGTGCGGCCGCAGGAGCGTGCGCGACGCCAGGCCTGCGCTCTGCGTCTGGGTGTCCCTGGATTGCAAGGTCAGAAGTCAGCATTGGCGGCTCGTACGTGACCTCCAGGCCCTGGCCGTGGGGCCGGAGGAGAGGGCACGCGCCATCCCCTCACCCCTACCGCCTGGTCACTAGTCTGCTCAGGCCTGGGGCCAGGGAACCGGGGAAGAGGGGCTGGGCGAGGTGGAACTTCCGGGCTGAGGTGGAGCTTGGACATGCCACACAGGTGCTCTCTCCTGCAGTGAATTCCTTGTACAGTGACCAGAAATAAAGCTAAATAACTGAGTAGATAATCAGCACTCACCCACCAGGAGAAATTCCCTGACAGATGGTCGCGAAGAGAGGCTAAACAGGGAGCACACGCCGGTACTGATGGGCTGTGACCCAAGCTGCCAGCGACCCAAGTTGGAGCAACTTGGCAACAAACAGTATCGCCTTAGAACCCAGGTGTAGTGTGGCTCAGTGGCCTGAACGCCAGACTGCGTTCACCACTGGGTGAGTCAGCGGTGCGATTCCGGGTCAGGGCACATGCCCGGACTGAGGGCCAGGTCCCCAGTAGGGGGCGCGCCAGAGGCAAGCACACCTCGATGCATCCCTCTCTTCCCCATTCTTAAAAAGCCCTGGCTGGTGCTGGCTGGTGTGGCTCAGTGGATTGAGTGCTGGCCCCTGCCAAGGGGTTGCTGGTTGGATTCCCTGTCTGGGCACGTGCCTGGATTGCAGGCTGGGCGGGTCCCCCAGGTGGAGGGTGTGTGAGAGGCGATGTTTCTCTCCCTCTTTTTCTCCCTCTCTTTCCCTCTGTCTAAAAATAAATAAATCTTAAAAATACATTTAAAAGAAAGAATCAACATCTATGAGCCCACTCTGATATCAGTGAGTGAAAAGACTTTTCCCCTGCAGAAGGATTCCAAATTAAAGGGAGGCGGAAAAGCCTTGGCCTACCACCGTTCACTACCCAGGTTAGAGCAGAAAGAAAGAAGAAAAAAAAAGTCAGCTTTTTTTTTTTTTTGGCTACCTCACCCGACCCGCGATCCCGCCGTGCTCACCAGCCCAGCCCCTGCTTCCCGCCTGGAGTCCGCGGTCGGCCTGGGGTTTCTCCGGAGGTGCGCCCCCGCCCCCCGACCCCATTGCCACGCGAAGAGTTGGGCTCTGTCAGCCGCGGGGTTCTCCGGGCCCAGGGTGAGGCACTTGATGCGGGAAGAGAAACGGAGCGCGTCCCCGCGTTCCGTGCACTTCCCTGAGCTGTGGGACTTGCACCTGGGACGGGGCTCAGACACGTGAAAAACATTGACGTAGACACTGCCCTCCAGGACCTGGAGCGGAGTCCCGCCTCTAAGCCTCTAAGCGAGGCCGGCACGGGGCCGGGGGTGGGGCCGGGGCTAGGTGGGAACCGGCGAGAGGAACTGCGAGGAGGAGGAGCCGACAAACAGACAAACCACCTCTAGGAGGTCAAGGTCAACACGGTGACAGGTCATGTTGACAAAGGCACTTTGCCTCTGTGCTCTTCCTCCCCCAAACCCATGACCCCATCTCACCACCAGGAAAACAGAGTAACCCCAGCTGGTGGGAGGCGGGGCAGGCTCTGCGGTCCTGCTCCCTCAGAGACTGGAGCCTGGCCGCTGCCCGGGGCCCAGCCCCACATGGCCCTCAGGCCACCGAGGGCGGCAGGCTTTTCAAAAGCCCAGTAGTGCTGGGTCAGATGCTCCGGAATCCGAAAGTGGGCTCAGAGGAGGGGCTCGAACCTCACCACACTGTCGTCCCCGCTGGTACCTGCGGTGGCCAGCGGGGTCCCTGCAGGGGCTGCGTGGGGAGCCGGCAGCTCTGCTCAGGGACTTATGCTTCCATTTCCCCAGGTGAGTATCTTGGGTGGATTTGCGGGGACACCTCCGACCTAGAAGAAACGACCAGACTTTTCCAAGCTTTCCAAAGTGTTCGCGGCAGCAACACACGCAGAACCAGCAGCATGCCCTCAGCGGCACTGGTGTCCGTCTCCGTCCCAGTCCCTGCAGGCTGCTGCAGTGGAAACGCCGCAGGCTGGAGGCTCACACATCAGACCTGCTCTTCTCCCAGTCTTCAGTCACGGTGCCGGCAGGTTCGCACACGAGTCTCCGCCCTGTGTCCCGTTCAGGGCCTGGCCACCTCCTAGGGTTT